GAGAAAGATCGAAACTCATCAAATCTTGTCTAGGGGATTCCGCGCGGAGTCTTTGGTGAGCCCCTTGTTCTAGTTAGCGGGGAAGACAAGAAGACGAAGTCGGACGTGAGTCTGCTGCCGGCCGCGCGGACTTGTGGGGGGAGACACGCCCACTTCTCGCACCCGAGTGTCAAAAGCGCGGGTTTCGAGATTATCGACCGGCGGAGGGGGGCGGGACTTGCGGCCTCCCCGTGATTGAAAGTTGCGCCTGTCGGGAGCGCTTAAACCCCGCCTCTCCTGTTTTTCCTCCCGTCTCTTCCATCCTTCTGTACCCCCCTCGAGTTCACCGTTCTCCCCCTCCCTTGCCTCTCAACTCGTTTCGTTGTGCGAGTAGGGAGGAAGGCGGATTCAAGACAGACGTGCCTGCGAATGAAATCGCGGGGAACGAGATTTTTGCACGCTCGGCTACGTTTCGCTTGTGTAGCGTTTTCCCTCTCAACTGTACGCTGAGCTTGGAAAGACTATAGCAGAACAAGGGAGAGATTACATTCTACATCAGTGCCACAACCCTCCAGGGGGTATAGGAAGAAAAAGAGGAAGAAAAAGAGAACGAAGAAATATAAGAACGAAAAAGAAGAGAGGAGGAAAACAGGGAGGAGCGACGCTAGAGACTGTAAAGGACAGAGGTAGGACACGATTTAAAAAATGACTGACGACTGTACTTCAGCAAGTGGTTCCATCCCGATAGTTACTAGCGTTTAGTAAGCACGTGTGCGTTGACTCGTCGTACTGTGAGAAGTCATTGTGTAAAATAACACACTTAGGCACGTTCCTCAGACTCTACTGCCAGCGGTGGACCTGGATCTAGTGGACGTCTAGCAAAAGTTGCATGTCGAGGCAGATAAGGAAAATGTTCACCACAGCCGCGCACTGACTTCGCACGTTCGTGACAAGGAACGAAAGGGAAAAAAATAGAAGGAAAAAAAATATATCATCAGCTGTTGGTGACAAGTTTACTCCTCCCTCCGCCTCTCCCTCCTCCCTCCGCCTCGTCACATGTCAATTTGTTGTGCTTGCGTGTTCAGTGACTTTCTCAACAATCGCGACTGTGCCCCTAAAGGTTGATCAAGGTAATTTCTACTTTTCCTGTGGAATTATATTGTTACTCATCGAGCTGCCTCCGGATTCACGATAGCTCCACTGAGCTACAACAACTCAGGTGGGTGTTCTCGACTCGCAATTATACTTATCACTTCGTACTGAGCTAACCAACCAACCAAACTTCCAGAAACTTTTTTTTTTGCACTTATTATCGCAACAACAAGTCACTACATGCAAAAAAAACCCAAACATTTCTAGATCTTTTGCGTTCAGTCATGAAAATCGTGATCATACTGGGTTTTTCTTACATCCTTTTCTTCATTATCTTTTGAATCCGCAGTGTCATAACGGACGTCCTTGTGGTAAACCACTCCTGGTATGATGCTCGATAAGGAAGGGGAAAAACGCATGTATCTATTTTTCTTCCCAGAATCACTAACCATCTGGGAAATACCGGAGTCCGTTATAGTTTCTTTATTTTATTTAACATCTTGAAATAATGTTCTTTGCTTTATTGCGTTCAAGTGATTCTTTTGGGAAGAATGAAACCAGGATTGATCGTAAACGCCTTATGTTCCTGACGGTATAGGGAGAGAGTAATGAGTATTTTTTTTTTAATGCTCGTAAACGACGATCGACTTGAAAGTGTAGGTGGGTAGCAAGAACCTCTTCATATTCCTAGCTTTCTCTTCTTTTCGGGTACCATTATTGCCGTAGAGGTAACGTATTTCAACTCGAAAACAAAAAGTAAGTTTTAGAGCAATATCGTAGTAGGGTGTCCAAACTGAGTAAGGTTCATCTGTTGATTTGATTTGCCGTTTTGCTGTGACGTACATAAATTCATATTGAGTGACTGAGATTTCTTTTTATTTATTATTTACTTCTTTTATTAAATCGTCTAAAAAAAACCCAACAAATTTTACTTTAAGCTAGACGCCAACATAGTCTAGATTTAGTTGTGTGGACAGAGCCGTTAAATAACAGCACTGCCCCGCAAAAGTCAAGAGAAAACCTCTTAAAATCAGTAACAGCACCGCCCCGATCCACAACAGTAACAACAATATTTATTAT